CTAGGATTCGCATTCAGGAGATTGCAATTAGTAACTCCAGCAAATTTTAGGTGTCGTTTTTATCGAATAGGGTCTGAGAGCCCGATAAGTCAAACGATGTCATTTTTCTATAGATCGATCATTCAAAAAAAAAAAAAATTCAGAAATCTTCTTAGGTCAATTTTAAACTCTGGTTCGTATTCAGAAGTTTCAAATTAGTAAGTTCAACAAATTTCAGGACTCTTCCTTGTCGAATAACACTTGAGAGGTCGATAAATCAAATGATGTCATTTTTCTACAGGTAGTGTCATTCAAAAAAATTCAGGGAGCTTTTTAGGTCAATTTTCAACGCGGATTCATATTCAAAAGGTTTAAATTAGTGAGTTCAACAAATTTCAAGAGTCTTCCTTATCGAATAAGTCTTCAGAAATTGATAAATCGAACGATGTCATTTTTCTATAGGTCGTATCATTCAAAAAGATAAAAAAAATCAGGAAATTTCTTGGGTCAATTTTTAATTCTAATTCGTATTCAAGACATTAAATTTAGTAGCTCCAACAAATTTCAGGAGCCTTTCCTATGAAAAGACATGAGAGATCGATAAATCGAGTGAAATCATTTTTCCGAAAGCAGTATTATGAAAATTTAAAAATCAGGAAGCTTCTCAAGTCAATTCTAAACTCCAATTCGTATTCAGGAGACTTAAACAAGTATTTTCAACAATTTTCATTAGTTTTCTTTATCGAAAAATACTTGTGTAATGGATAAATCGAACAATGTCATTTTTCTATTGGTAGTATCATTCAAAAAAAAAAACAAACAAATTTAGTAAGATTCTTAGCTCAATTCTGAACTGGGATTCGTATTCAGGAGATTACAATTAGTAACTCCAGCAAATTTCAGGTGTCGTCTTTATCGAATAGGGTTTGAGAGCCCGATAAATCAAATGATGTCATTTTTCTATAGATCGATCATTCAAAAAAACCAAAAAAATTCAGAAACCTTCTTAGGTCAATTTTAAACTCTGGTTCGTATTCAGAAGTTTCAAATTAGTAAGTCCAACAAATTTCAGGACTCTTCCTTGTCGAATAACAATTGAGAGGTCGATAAATCGAATGATGTCATTTTTCTACAGGTAGTGTCATTCAAAAAAATTCAGGGAGTTTTTTAGGTCAATTTTCAACGCGGATTCATATTCAAAAGGTTTAAATTAGTGGGTTAAACAAATTTCTAGAGTCTTCCTTATCGAATAAGTCTTCAGAAATGGATAAATCGAACGATGTCATTTTTCGATAGGTCGTATCATTCAAAAAGCTAAAAAAATCAGGAAACTTCTTGGGTCAATTTTCAATTCTAATTCGTATTCAAGACATTTCATTTAGTAGGTCCAACAAATTTCAAGAGTCTTTCCTATGAAATAAGACATGAGAGATGGATAAATCGAGTGGTCATTTTTCTGAAAGTAGTGTTATTAAAATTTAAAAATCAGGAAGCTTGTCAACTCAATTCTAAATTCAGATTCGTATTCAGGAGACTTAAACAAATAGGTTCAACAATTTTCATTAGTTTTCTTTATCAAAAAATACTTGTGTTATGGATAAATCGAACAATGTCATTTTTCTATTGGTAGTATCATTGAAAAAAAAAACCAAACAAATTTAGTAAGACCCTTAGCTCAATTCTGAACTCGGATTCGTATTTAGGAGATTGATTTTAATAAGTGTCTCAAATTTGAGGGGTCTTCCTTATCGGATAATAAATTGAGAAACCAATAAATCGAACGATGTCATTTTTCTACAGGTAGCATCATTAAAAAAAAAATAAAATATCAGGAAGCTTCTTAGCTCAATTCTGAACTCGGATTCGGATTGAGGAGATCAAAATTAGTAACTCCAATAAATGTCAGGTGTCATCTTTATCGAATAGGATTTGAGAGCCTGATAAATTAAACGATGTCATTTTTCTATAGGTCGATTTCAAACTCCGGTTCGTATTCAGAAGATTATAATTAGTAAGTCCAACAAATTCCAGGAATATTCCTTGTCGAATAACACTTGAGAGGCCAATACATCAAAAGAGGTCATTTTTCGATTGGTACTATCGTTCAAAAAAAAAACAAACAAATTCAGTAAGCTTCTCTGGTTAATTTAGAATTCGGATTCGTACTTAGGAGATTTATATTAGTAAGTTTCTAAAATTTGAGGAGCCTTCTTTATTGAATAATAATTGAGAAACCGATAAATCGAACGATGTCATTTTTCTACAGGTATCATTAAAAAAAAAATTAAAATCAGGAATTTTCTTAGCTGAATTTTGAACTCCGATTCGTATTCAGGAGGCCCAAATTAGTAACTCCAGTAAATTTCAGGTGTCATTCTTGTCGAACAGGATTTGAGAGTCTGATAATCAAACAATGTCATTTTTCTATAAGTCGATCATTCAAAAAACCAAAAAAATTCAGAAACCTTCTTAGGTCAATTTCAAACTCCGGTTCGTATTCAGAAGATTATAATTAGTAAATCCAACAAATTCCACTAATATTCCTTGTCGAATAACATTTGAGAGGCCAATAAATCAAACGATGTCTTTTTTCTATTGGTAGTATCGTTCAAAAAAAAAACAAACAAATTCAGTAAGCTTCTCTGCTTAATTCAGAATTCGGATTCGTACTTAGGAGATTTATATTAGTAAGTTTCTAAAATATGCGGAGCCGTCTTTATCGAATAATAATTGAGAAACCGATAAATCGAACGATGTCATTTTTCTACAGGTAGTATCATTAAAAAAAAAATTATAAAAAATCAGGAAGCGTCTTAGCTCAATTCTAAACTCGGATTCGTATTCAGGAGACCGAAATTAGTAACTCCAGTAAATTCCAGGTGTCATCCTTGTCGAATAGGATTTGAGAGCCCGATAAATCAAACGATGTCGTTTTTCTATAAGTCGATCATTCAAAAAAACCAAAAAAATTCAGAAACATTCTTAGGTCGATTTCAAACACCGGTTCGTATTCAGAAGATTCAAATTAGTAAGTCAAACAAATTCCAGGAATATTCCTTGTCGAATAACACTTGAGAGGCCAATAAATCGAATGATATCATTTTTCTATTGGTAGTATCGTTAAAAAAAAACAGACAAATTCAGTAAGCTTCTCTGGTCAATTCTGAATTCGGATTCGTACTTAGGAGATTTATATTATTAAGTTTCTAAACTTTGAGGAACCTTCTTTATCGAATAATAATTGAGAATTCGATAAATCGAACGATGCCATTTTTCTACAGGTAGTATCATTAAAAAAAAAATTAAAAAATCAGGAAGCGTCTTAGCTCAATTCTGAACTCGGATTCGTATTCAGGAGACCGAAATTAGTAACTCCAGTAAATTTCAGGTGTCATCCTTGTCGAATAGGATTTGAGAGCCCGATAAATCAAACGATGTCGTTTTTCTATAAGTCGATCATTCAAAAAAACCAAAAAAATTCAGAAACATTCTTAGGTCGATTTCAAACTCCGGTTCGTATTCAGAAGATTCAAATTAGTAAGTCCAACAAATTCCAAGATTATTCCTTGTCGAATAACACTTGAGAGGCCAATACATAAAACGAGGTCATTTTTCGAACGATAGTCAAAAAAAAACAAACAAATTCAGTAAGCTTCTCTGGTTAATTCAGAATTCGGATTCGTACTTAGGAGATTTAGGTATATTAGTAAATTTCTAAAATATGCGGAGCCGTCTTTCAAACTCGGGTTTGTATTCGGAAGATTCAAATAAGTAAGTCTAACAAATTTTAGGAATCTTCCTTGTCGAATTTGAGAAGCCGATAAATCGAACGCTGTCATTTTTCTATAGGTACTATCATTAAAAGAAATATAAAAAAATCAGGAAGTTTCTCAAGTCAATTCTGAACCCGAATTTGTATTCAGGAGTCTTCCTCATCGCATAAGACTTAGAACCTCGATAAATCAAATGATGTCATTTTTCTATAGGTCAGATCATTCAAAGCAACTAAAAAAATCAGGAAGCCTCTTAGGTCAGTCTTAGTTGGATTCGTATTCAGATCTAAATTAGTAATTTCAGCAAATTTGATAAATCAAAGGATGTCATTTTTCTATAAAAATATTCAGGAAGTTTGTTTAATCAAATCTGAACTTGAATTCGTATTCAGATGATTAAGAGTAGTGGCTTCAGTAAATTGCAGAAGTGTTCTCAATCGAATGAGACCTGAAAGACCCATAAATTGGATGACGTCATTTTTGTGTAGGTTCTTTATTAATGATCTACAATTATGTAACTACTTAAGCAAACAGTTTCCATCGGAAGAATTGTGGAAATTGCGCCAACACGTGGAAATAATAAAATTTTAATAGAGTTTGAAACATCGAACAAAGACGAACATACGCGGCAATAAATCTGGTACTAACCCCATTTTAAATACACTGCATTATTTTCGTGCCTCGATCCATTATCTCCGCTAACCCCCTTAATAATGCGCTTTTCCGTCTCGTAAAATAAATATCGCCATCCTTCGCCCCAGCCTTCGCGCCCTTGATTTGATACACCCATTACGTTACATAGATGTCACGCCGCCGTAACATCCGTATTGATGCCCTGTCGTATCCGAACGAATGGTTATTGGACTTTTTTCGGGTCAAATTTAGATTTTATGGCTCGTGTCATATTGTAGGCGACATTTTTCACCGTTGCACGCGACAAATGCACTCCGATCATGGAAACGTCGGGCTTTTTCAGGCGTTCACGTACGGAATTTATCTGAACGCCACCTTCCGCCAACAATGGCCGATAAATCCGGTGGATCCCACTTTGTAGAAAGTAAGTTAGCCGGAATATCGCCGAATGGAATCTGTGATATGATTTATCGCCGGAGATTATTGAAAAAGAAATATTTCGACAATGTCATTACCTCGCCGCCCCCGCGCGGGACATACGCCAGATACACAATTCACCTCGCGTCGCCTCCATCATTCCAATTTATCTTGATGTGTGCTTAGGCGGGGACTTACCTAGGCAGTTCCGGGGGCCGGCGCTGAACGGGATGAAGGAGTAAGGATGTCGTTTGGCGATATTTTCCGGAAGGAAGCGGTCAGGGTCGAAACGTTCCGGGTCCGGGTAGTGCTCGGGGTCTTTGTGCAGGCAGGAGAGGTGCATGACCAGCATCACGCCGGCAGGAATCACGTGCTCGCCTGGAAAAAAGAAAACTTTACAGGAATGTACTTCATTTCACTTAAATTATGAACTTGGACTTCCGGCAAATGTACTCTGTGTTATTAAATTTTTTAAAGTTTTGCCAACTTTGGTGCTGGGAAGAATGTTTAGCAGGGTTTAACCTGTTCTCAAACAGTGATAATTCGTCGGAAAAAAATTTCTGTGACACCACAGTTATTTCCCGTCCATACGATGTTCATTATTCTCCAAAACCACCCATTTTAAACCCTCTCCAACCACGTCCTTTCAGAGGTGTTACTAACGAGTGCCGACGTTTACGAAAAGGACCCCGGACTTTTTGCCCCACGCGGGAGAGTATTAACAAGGATGGAACTTTGCGCAAAACAAGCCTGACCCAGATTTCTGGTCCATTGTCGTCCGAAGAGTGAAGTTTTAGTTGCCTGTCGTCTATATTGGTCATAACAATGGCGAGAGAAAAAATATGTTCGAGATATAAAAATCGCCACGATATTTATGGCCACTAATCACTGCAGAATAATGGACGCGACGACTATTTTCGCTCGAAAGCGAGCCTGTGAAGTTGGCCTGTGGAAATTAAATATGCAATTTTATTGCCGCTGTGGCTATCGGTGCCTGTATTAATTTATGGCGCTGAATAACGGCCGATCGATCCATGAATTATAAATTTATTGGGGCGCTAATTTTGCCCTCCATTAGGGTGTGAGACGAGATCGCGATTTTTTCGTGATTTAGAGCGACAAACGTGGGGGCGGGGTGGAGTGGATGGATGGCTTGTTTTTCGGCGCAGTCGAGAGGATAACATATATATGTAGTGAAAGTGGGTGTAATGAAGCTACTAGACAGTGAAATGATTTTTGAAATGGTTGTCTTAGATGAAATATATATGTTTATTCCCCCAACAATGACATGACGTCATCTGCAACCTTTACAATAGTAAAGGTTATTTAAATTTTATAAAATAACACAATGATGACGTCATTTTACAATTTTACATAACAAATTTTATAAAAAAATTCCTGCACTTGTTTTCAAATTTCAAAAAAATCGGAAAATTGAATTTTGTATTTGGCTTGAAAGTCAAATTTTTAATTTTCAATTGACAATTCTGGAAAAATGGTAGTAATTTTCGAAGAAATGAAGCTGAAACTAAATTCTGGAGGTGGAATTCTACGAAAAAAATGTTTTTGGTTAATTTTAGAAGGTGTTTGAAAAACGGTCAAAAATTTCACAATTGAAAAATTTAGCTTTTGGAAAAGTTACCAAAAAATCTACAAAAAATTCGGAGATGCAGATCTCAACGTTCTAATTCAAAAAATATAAAAGTTTTCTTGTTCAGAGCAAGATTTTTAAACATAATCCTAAAAACTGCCATAAAACTGGTGATTCTGCAAAAATGGTAGAAATTTTCAAACAAATGAGGCATAAAATAAATTCTAGGGCGTGAATTCTAGAAAAAAATGTCTTTAGCGAATTTTTGAAGGAGTTCGAAAAATGATAAAAAATTTATAAAGAAAGAAAAAAAACGAAAAATTGAGCTTTCGGAAAACTTTCTGGGATATTTGATTTTGACGTGCTAATTTGAAAAATGCAGCGTGTTTATAATCCCTGACCAAAATTTTCGAAATACTTATTTGGTTTGAACATAATTTTTTTTTTTAAATCCTAAAATTTCACACATTTCAGCGACTTTGGAAATCGAGATCTACAAGAAAATGTCGTTAGGTAATTTTCGAAGGTGTTTGAAAAATGATCAAAAGTTTCACAGAGGGCGATTTTTTGATGTTTCGATTTCTCAATTTTTCAAGTTTTCGATATTTTAATTTTTCAAATTTTGAAATATTAGATTTTTAGATTTCTCGATTTATTGATCCTGCAATGTATCTGTTTTTGAATTTTTTGGATATCTAAATTGTATACTTTTCAGTTTTTTGATGCTTCGATTTCTCAATCTTTCGATTTTTCGACTTCTTGCTTTCAGCTATCAGGTTTTTCAATTTTTCGATTTTTAAATTTTTTCAATTTTTTACTTTTTCAGTTTTTAGATTTTTCAATTTTTTTATTTTCTGATTTAGCGAGATTTCGATGTTTCGATTTCTTCAATTTTTTAAATGTTCCATTTTTTATTTTAAAGTTTTGAATTTTTGAATTTTTAACTTTTCGATTTTCCATTTTTCAACTTTCCGTTTTTCACATTTTTTTACGTTTCGATTTCTCAATGTTTCAATTTATCAATTTTTCCAAGCTTCTATTTTTGGTTTTTTTTGTTTTTTGGTTTCACAATTTTTCGTCATTTCAATTTTGGAATTCTTCAATTTCTAGATTTTTCACTTTTACGATTCTTGAGTTTTCCGATTTTTCAATTTTCCGAATTTTTAAATTTTGGATTTTTCGATGTCTCCTGTTTTTTGATTTTTTAACGTTTCGACCTCGCAATTTTTCAATTTCTCGATTTTTCAGTTTCTCGATTCAATTTTCCGATTTCTAAATTGAAGATTTATAAGTTTTTAAATTTTTAGATTTCTTTGTGTCACGATTTCGTGGTTTTGGAGTTTATCGATCTCTCGATTTTTCGGTTTTTCGGTGTTTGGATTTCTCGACCTTTCGATTTTTTGACTTCTCGGTTTTAGATTTTTCGATTTTTTAAATTTCGATTTTTAAAATTTTTGATTTTCCAATTTTTTAATTTTTCAAGTTATAAATTCTTTGATTTTTCAGTTTTTCAATTTCTCAGTTTGCAATGCTTCTTCAGTTTTTCTTTAATTTTACAAATTTTCCATATTTCCGTTTTGGGATTTTTCAGTATTTCGATATTTCAATTTCCCAATATTTTTTTCATTTCAATTTTGGAATTTTTCAATTTCTCGATATTTCAGTTTTTCGGTTCTTCAATTTTTCGATTCTTTTATTTTCCAATTTTTTAAATTTTGGATTTTTCATTTCCCGATTTCTCGACATTTTAAGGTCTACATTTCTGGACTTCTCGTTTTCCCGATTTTTCAATTTTGCAATTCAATTTTTTGATTTTTCAATTCTTCCATTTTTTAAATTGTCCACTTTTTTACTTTGATTTTTATAGTTTTTGGGTTCTTGATTTTCAGTTTTTCAATTTCTCAATTTTTCGATGTTTCAGTTTTGGGTTTTTTCAATTTTTCGATTCTTTATTCTTTCAAGATTTTGATTTTTCAATTTTGGGACCGTTCAATTTATCGATTCTTCAACTTCTCGATTTTTAATTTTTCCCATCTTTTTACTTTTTCGATTTTTCAATTTTTCGATTATTAAAAGTTTTGATATCTTAATTTTTCAATTTTTAAAATTATAGATTTTTCGATTTCTCGATTTTCAGTTTTTTAATGCTCAGATAACTCTATTTTTCAATTTTTTGATTTCTGGGTTTTAGATTTTTGAATTTTTTAATTTTTCCAATTTTAAGGTTTTTATTTTTCGATTTTTCAGTTTTTAGATTTTTCAATTTTTAGATTCTCCGATTTATCAGGATTTCGATGCCTGGATTTTTCGATTGTTCAATTTACCGATTTTTCAAGTTTCCGAATATTCTTTTAATTTGAAATTTTTAGATTTTGTCATCTTTGATTAACATTTTTGATTTTGGGCTGGCGGGATTTCTTAATTTTTTTTTTTGACTTCTCGATGTTTCAGATGGTCAATTTCCCGATTTTTCAATGTTACGATTTTTTAAATTTTGGATTTTTCGGTGTCTCCTGTTTTCGATTGCTTGGTTTTTAGATTTTTTAACGTTTCGACCGCGCAAGATTTTTCAGTTTTTAAATTTTTAGATTTTTTTGTCACGATTTCTTGGTTTTGCAGTTTTTCGATCTCTCGATTTTTCGGTTTTTCGGTGTTTGGATTTCTCGATCTTTCGATTTTTTGACTTTTCTGTTTTAGATTTTTCGGTTTTCAATTTTTTGGTTCTTCAGTTTTCTTCGATTTTTCAAAGTTTCGATATTTCCGTTTTGGAATTTTTCAGTATTTCGATATTTCAATTTCCCAATTTTTCAATTTCTCAATATTTCAGTTTTTCGGTTCTTCAATTTTTCGATTCTTCCATTTTCCAATTTTTTAAATTTTGGATTTTTTCTTTGTCCGATTTCTCGAATTTTTAAGGTCTATATTTCTCGACTTTCCCGATTTTTCAATTTTGCAATTCAATTTTTTGACTTTTTCATTTTTTTACCATTTTTTAAATTGTCCATTTTTGGACTTAGATTTTTGAGTTCTTGATTTTCAGTTTTTCAATTTCGCATTTTTTCGATGTTTCAGTTTTGGGCTTTTTCAATTTTTCGATTCTTTATTTTTTCAAGATTTTGATTTTTCAATTTTGGGACCGTTCGATATTTCGATTCTTCAACTTTTCGATTTTTAATTTTTCTCATCTTTTTACTTTTTCGATTTTTCAATTTTTCGATTGTAGATTTTTTCATTTTTAAATTTTTCAATCTTTCATGTCACGATTTTGTGATTTTTCAATTTTTCGATTATTAAAAGTTTTGATATCTTAATTTTTCAATTTTTAAAATGAAATATCTCGATATTTCAGTTTTTTAATGTTTAGATTTCTGGGTTTTAGATTTTTGAATTTTTCAATTTTTCGAATTTTAAGGTTTTCATTTTTCGATTTTTCAGTTTTTAGATTTTTCAATTTTTCGATTTCCCGATTTATCGGGGTTTCGATGTCTGGATTTTTAGATTGTTCAATTTCCCGATTTTTCGATTTTGCAAGTTTTCGAATTTTTTTTTTAATTTGAAATTTTTTGGTATTGTAATCTTTAACATTTTCGATTTTGGGCTAGAGGGATTTTTTAATTTTTCGTTTTTTTGACTTCTCGATGTTTCAGATGTTCAGTTTTCCGATTTTTCAATGCTACGATTCTTTAAATTTTGGATTTTTAGATTTCTTTTCAACCTTGCAATTATTTGATTTTCCCATATCTTGTTTTCTCGATTTTTGAGTTTTTCAGTACAATTTTTTTATTTT